TACTGAATTCTCCTTCAGACTGTGTGCTCTGGCAGTACACATCATGCATTTCTTTTATTCTACTTGCAATAGATTGAGAAGGATCTCTGGAGCATGACCTGAACATAAAAAATAAACATTTTCAATATACTATTCCTTCCAAGACCAAAACCCCTTCTGTGATAGTTTGGACTTTGGCTCCCTGCCAAATGCCCAAACCTTCAGTAGTAACCCTCCCTTCCCCCTTCCCTCTTTCTTTAGGGTAAAGAAAGAAAAAAAATTACAAAAAAATTAAAGAACCCAAAGTCAAGCTGCTTATATAAAATATATATATATATTTATGTAAAATCCCAGTTATATACAGTTAAGATGCTATATACACAGTAAAAGGGAATCAACACTGCCCCCCCCCCCCCCCCAAAGGGATAGGGAAAGGGGAAAAAGGGACAAGAGGGAACAAAAAGGGACACCGAATAGATATGCACAATCAAACCTGAGAACTAGTAAAATAACTAGTAAAACAAATCTCACCACATCCCTTAAAACAGCAGGATTGGCAGACACAGCCAGCACTCTCCGAACCCCCACGTGGCAGGCCAGCGGTCGCTGCAGGCCTAAGCCTTAGATAAGCAAGACCAACGCAGGGAGTCACTGTTCCCGAACCTCGCTGGAAGAGAAGAGAGCGAGGTCTCTGATCTCCAACTTATTTATACTCTGGTTTACGTAAAAATTGTATGGAATACTGGGTACATGGCCACTTCCTTGGTTACAAACTGGTCACCAGGGAGGCCTAGACCAAAACCATCACACCCACACACCTCATAACGGTGTGGGCCTCAGAAAGGCTCTGTCCTCATAAAGCCCATACACCTCATGATAGAACTCTCATCATAAAAGGTGGGTCCACATAATGCCCCATGCCTGTCATAATGGGGCTCTCCTCATAAAGGCCATGTCCTCATAAACTCCAAAAATGTTGTTGCCTAAAAGGCTGCAGAGGAAAAAAGTCTCCAGGCCTTATTAGGTAGAAGGTCAGATAAGCAGTAGAGGTTTTAATGAGCCTCCAGGCTCCAGGAACACAAACACATGAGCATCCCTTCCAACACAGGGGTTACAGTTTTTATAATGATTTCCACCCAATCCCCGTCCCGTCACCGCCCCAGTTCTGCCCCGTACACCTTCCAGGAGTTGAGGCTGGGGGAGTTTCGGGACCCCCTCTTCCTCATCTTCATCAAAGCATGTGCCGTCCTTGGAGGCTTTCCAAGGCTCTGGTCTTGAAGGTCGTTGTGTCTATGGCTGTATCCTCTTGCACAGATTTTAGGGTGTTCTCTACAATTCTACCTTGAAAATGAGACTAAACAGGCTAATGGAATTTAGGGGGATTGATATGAGAATTGGATAACAGGGTTGGCTCTGTGTAACTACTGTGTAAAGCGTTAGGGATAAAATGCAGCTACGTTAAAATCTACATTCACTACACAACTACTTCTAAAATCTACAAATATGAAAAATCAAAAACTCTAAGGCAACAGAGACATCTGCTCTGTCTTGACAGTTGTCTATAAGAAATTCAATCAGAGTCTGATGAAACAGTCAATAAGGATGAAGAAATGGAAAACTACACACCAAGAAATGGAAAAGAGAAACTTTTAAAAAGTCACACGTAGTTCTGGTGCAGCCACTGTGATGGTTTTGGTCTAGGCCTTCCTGGTAACCAGCTCGTAACCAAGGAAGTGGCCATGTACCCAGTATTCCATACAATGTTTAGGTAAACCAGATATAAATAAGCTGGAGATTAGAGACCTCGCTCTCTTCTCTTCCTGTGAGGTTCAGGAGCAGTGGGTCCTTGTGTTGGTCTATCCTATCTAGAGCCTGAGGCCTGCAGCGACCGCTGGTCTGTCACGCGGGAGGTTGGAGAGTGCTGGCCATGTCTGCTGATCTTGTTTTTCTGAGGGACGTGGTGAGATCTCGTTTTGCTAGTTCTTTATTTTGCTAGCTCTTGGGTTTGATTGTGCATATCTATTCTGGTTTTGTCCCTTTTTGTCCCTTTTTCCTACTTCCCTCTCCCTTCGGGGGAAAAGATGCTTCCAAGGAATTCACATCCTGAACACGACCTCAGGATTTTGTCTTCTCTTTTGATTTACTTTTGTTATTTAAAGGCAAGAACCCTTTTCCCTGATGGCTGTTTGGGGGACAAATCCCAGCACAGAGTCCAAGGTGCACTTGCTGTCTTTGTCAGCCGGTTGGTCATTCCCAATGTCTTGGAAAGAAAACCCTGCCAGTGGTTGGGATTGCTGTCCCCACTGGAACAGTCATTGCTGTCGGGACTGTCTCTTCCCAGAGGTTTTCCTATGAGCAGGGAAAAATGGTAACAATTAGAACACAGAACTCTAAAGGGGGAGATGTGGCAAAGAGAAACCCCCTTATCTCACCTATAATCCAAGATGTCTAAACCGGTGAACTTGGGATGTTTTCAGCTCGAGCTCCTTCTGGAGTTCACACCATAGAGAGGGAAACATCCCTCCTTTTCCAAGGGCACCCATTCAACCAGTTGATCACCTGATTTCAGACTAAAACTCTTAAGGAATCGATCCTCTTTTAGTACTGAAACACAGTGATTACCCAGATGGCAACATTTGCACCTACTACTTACATTTCTCTCCCATGAAGGCAACAGCCAACGTTGCTGAGCACAATGGAACAATCCTGTAGGACACAACAACTCTGCCAAGCTTTGGCCTGGGAAGGACATCAAGGAAGGGGATTTTTTTGCAGTTCTCATGAAAAATATACTCTACACTTGAGAAGAAGAAATAATCACAAGTCATAATGCTTCTCCAAGAGCCAAAGTCAACAAAAAAGCTTCTGTAGAAAACCATTAAGGTTCCTAATTGTAGAAACATTTGCAAATCTAATGACCGATACATTTCAAAAGCAAAATCCTTAACTCAGTACATCAGGGCTGGTCAATATGGACACTGTTCCTTTTAGAGGCAGTGAAGGGAACACCCTTTGTTTTACTAGTAATAAATGTTTATACTATTTACCCCAAATCCTGTCTCTCTTTTGTCTGCAAAAACCTTCTCTCAACTAGTAGTAATTGTGTGGGGGGTGGAAAGCAAATTGACCCAGAGCAAAACCACGACACC